TTTCGCTCAGTGTTTACTTACATGCAGTGTATCTTGTGTTACTGTGCTTCCTTTGTGATTTCGGAGATGGCTTCTGGCCCAGTTTACATACTTTATCTTAATTCTGGAGTAATTCCTTTGGCCTCAAAAGAATACAATGTAAAAAGTGTCGTGTTGATAAAAGAAAAGTTTGTGTTGAAATTTAAACCTTCTCCCCCGAGACTATTTTTTCTTTCTCTGAGTTGGTTTTAGGATTGAAGAATGCAAAGGTTCTCTTCGTGTTTCGGTCCAATATTCAAATCAGGCAACTCCAGCTTTGTTGCATCCGGATTCGGTCAAAAATAAACTCATCATATCCCATGATTCCATCTGTCTGCTTCTGCCAAATTTCGCTTTGGCTCAGCAACACCCAGCTGACAGAAAAGACAGATGGTTTTGTGCAAAATTACAACTGAGAAAATGGAAAGGCATCTGCTTACATCAGCGTGCAGCAGCATGATGTTACTACAGTAGCTTGGGTCTCAGCAGAGTTAGTGAGTGCACTTACACAATATTGTGACATTTATGGCCACAGGACATATGGAAGACATATCAAAAATATGCTAAATTAATGCATTCATTTGATATGTTTTATTGTCTGCACTTAAAAAGGGGTTATTTAATGCCTTTCCTCAGCTGCAGTAATACGAACTAACGAGTGACAAGCACACTGCTGGGTTTTGATGTGTTGCAGGTTGTTTAGCAGCTGGCACATGAACAAAGACATCATTTGATGATTTGTATCTTTCCATGATTTTGGCTGACTTCTAAAGTATTGTGTCTGGAGCCCCTTACGTTTTTGAAGGTCCTATTTAGTTGCCGGGGCAGTTAAAAGGTATGGACATAAGTATAAAGGACAGCCTGTGTTCGTGACAGTCCTGCTTGGCGTGCTTGTTTCCAGCTCTGGATAGATTTTTCCGCAGTTCAAATAAACAATGTTCCAAGTTCAAAAATCAAAGACGTCACAAATGTGAATTATGTCTGAAGGGTGGATTAAAAATTAAAGAGCACTTTGAGTCACATTGATGAAGAGTCAGGAAATAGTTACACAGAGGAAAGAATGTGGATGCCTGGTGGAGGTCAGCCATATTTCCTAGAGCGTGTGGAGCAAGACTCTTGGACAATGGATGGAATATTGCAGTGTACTCACTCAGACTATTGCCAGCCAGGTGTTAGGCAGGGCCTGATTTCACAGTATATCAGTCAGACGTGCTATCAGGCTGCTCTAGGTCAGACTATGTGTGTGTGTGAGCCAGCCACACATTCATATCAGTCCAGCATCATGCCAAAGAAACTAGTCCAGAGATCGAGAGCATTATATGCCAAGTTTTAGACCGGCCTTAATTTATTTATTCATTTCAGTCATGCATGAAACCAATTATTGTTTCTAATGGATTCCCACATTTGCAAGCCAGACAAAAGTAGGCTGGGTGTGAGACGGCCCTGCAGTGAGATGGTGTGATGGTGGAGCGCTCACAAAACAAAGTTTGCAACACATTTCACACAGTTTCACTCAAAGCTACTTTTAGCCAGACAGCCCTTCTCTATTTTCTTGTCCTCTTAAAATTCTGATGTGAATATACCCTGACATTTTTTGGGGAAATACTCTTAATCGCTCTTTTATTGAGTGTCATATCTGTACACAATAGTTAACCTTTTAGCTTTTAGCTTCATAGATATGACGGTGGTATCAATCTTCTCATGTAATTGATATATGCACTCACTGTGTTGTAAAAGTATCTCACAAACATTCCTAATATAAGGCAAAATATGATTTCTTACAGTCATCAATTGCTATGGTAACACTGTCTTTGTCCACACATTAACTTATAATATGGTGATTAAAACAATCTAATCAAACAAAATCCAAGGTGAACTGTGAGGGAACATGTTTAGCTAATTGACTATGCCAAAAGAAACATACTGGAAACATGATTTAAAAACACGTCTATTCTCTGTCTTGTCTCAAGTAACATAAGAGACAAGAGATGATATATACCCTGTTATATTTGTAACAGAGCGTACATACAGTAAGTTTGACCTCACATAACAAGGCTGCACGTCTATAGACTGCAAATATTTCTACTCGCAGATATAATCTACCTCCTTTGAGCCAATAAGCAGTTTATAGCCATGAAAGAAATTCAATATTCTCTCAATCTGATCTATATCCTGGCCGATAATTCATCATACACAATGAAATTTTATTGTAACAATTGGCCTTTTGTATTATATTAGAGGAGTTAAAGTATTTCCAGGCTCTCCAATGTCACATCCTTTATCCATACAGAACCTGTTGGAGAATTAAATCTTTGCGAGCCAGGTTTCAGTCACCCTGATTTACAGTGAGTGCACTGAGCTGCCTGTGATGAATCGAGGTTTATGACAAAGGAGACCAAATGTGTCTCAAACTTTACTGCTGGTATGAAATTCGGGGCAAAGGGGGAGAATCATTCAGTCATCTTTTCAACATTTTGTTTCTATCACTTTATCACTTTGCATTCATGTACACTCTTAAACACCATATAGCTACCACAGTTGCCCCTTGACACACACACACACACGCTCTCTGTCTCCATACACACCGGACATAATCAGACATAGTAATGCAAGTCAGGAGCATTTGTTTTCCTCTCTGGTTTCTTTCCTCCCTGTACGCCAAAACAAAGCCAGTTTTTCAGACAAAGACTTATTGTGTGAGAGAACAACCTCACTGCTAGTTTGCACGAAACTACAGAATCAAACACGTCATTGTCTCAATACCAAGACAGACTTGGGCTTTCCTCTTCAGTGGCAATTCCATTTCATTTTTCATTTGTAGAAAGCAGTGTGAAAACTAGTCCCATTGTTTCAGGTCCAAATTCTATTTCATGCTCATCGACAAGCTCACCTCATCTTGTTGAGTTGGCTGAATGAGATGAAGACTGTGGGACTTTCCTAATCAGGAAATCTTGGATCTATACTGTGAGAACTTGAATTGAAAATTGAAGAGTTTTATTTATTGGTCAGATGGTCTTGTTAGGATACGCTGAAGGTTTTTCTGAGCACAGATTTCCCGTGTGTTTATATCCAAAGGTCTAATTTCATTTCTAGGCACAAAACATAAGATTGACACTGAAGGGGACTGAGTCTCTGGAGTCAACACAGTATAGTGAGTTCAAAGTCTTTCATAGTATCAGAAAGACTGTGTTTCAGTGTTTCTATTTTCTGTTATTGAAGCTGAGTACATATTGTCCACAGTAAGCAAGTCCATTGTTTCCCAAAGAATAACTAAATGTGAAAGTCTTCCTGATCAGTGATTCTGGGAGCAGATAGTTCATCAAATCTTTGTTTTTTCAGTAGAAAAATTTATCTTAAATATATGGTCTGACTGAGACCGTTAAAGGGAAACTGATCATTTTCAACCAGCTCTGTGTCATCACAGAGTTTGCAGATGAACAGTTTTTGGCTTCCTGCTGTGCTTTGAAGTTGAAGTCTAACCTCCATCAGCATGTGAGCAGGACGCTCATGGCATTGGGGAAAGCCAAACACCATTCATCTGCACACACTGCAATGACACGGAGCTGGTTGAAAACACAGGCGACACAGTGCAGTGGATAGCGTTGTCGCCTCACAGCAAGAGGGCACAGCAGGGTGAGGGAGCCCTTCTGTGCGGAGTTTGCATGTGTGGGTGTGAATGCGAGCGTGAATGGTTGCCTTCAGCCCTGTGATAGTCTGGCTACCTGTGCTGGGTGTACCACTCCTCTTGCCCAATGTCAACTGGGATAGGCTCCAGCCCCTCTGCCACCTCCAACAGGATAAGTGGTTACAGAAACTGAATGAATGAATGTTTGAAAACTGGCAAAGTTTTCCCTTAAGCAGTATGGAAGTAGAAGAGAGGGACAATCACATAGCTCAGTAGCAAAATCATATAGCCTGTTCTGAAATGACTAGCAGTATTTGATGAGTTAAAAATGAATAAGTAAATAAATAAATAAATAAAATCCAAATGTTTATATTGATTTTAGCAGTCAGTCTCAAATTAAATTATTATTTTTTCCTTGTTTAAGGGTAAGTTCACCCTCAATATGAAAAGTAGATATAGTGTATCATTTACTTATAGTGGTATAAAACCATACAGATAGTGATTGGTTTAATTTGCAGAGGGTTTGAGATGCACATCTGTCTGAGATCTGGACACAACAGAAGTGACAGGAGATTTGTTTCCGGTGTTCACAGCATTTGGAAAATTACAATTAAAAAATTCAAAGGCAAACATTCATTTCCAATAAATAAATGAATAAATAACTAAATAATGAGCTGCTACTCTGGATTACCCACAAAAGATATTTTATAGGGATTTACTGTCCTCAAAGTAGTTCCAATACAAACAGGTCACTGTAAAATCAATGTGATGTGTCTTCTAGAGTAACCAGGACATTGTCTTTTAAAAACAATGCCATTTTTCACTTTCTAAAGGCAAAAATCAGGGAGACAGATTCTCTCAAAACCTAGACATATACAATCAAAATGATCCACTTGGCTATCACCAGAGGTGTCTTAGAAAGTATGTTTTTGTAATTTGAATGAACTGACTCTTGTAACTAGAATAAGTGGACTGATAAATGTGTCTGTCATGTCTCAATCAAGGCTTCAGCTCTGAAGCCAAAAATTAGTTCCCAAAGTCTTCGGTGCTTCATTTTGAAGCCTTTGTTTCATCATATGTAGAGCATCTGCTCAGCTCATTTATCTTCCAATGGCTATAGAGCTTAATTTGCAGGGAAAATAATTCAAATTTAACAACATGGGCTGATTATTATGTTTTCATTGCATTAACCAAATCACATAAAACATGTGTGGGTTCAACAAAGCAATTACATTTTGCAATATGGCTGAATAAGGTAGTTGTTTGCATTGCTTCAATGTTATGAGGTCATTAATCATCACTTGTTTTTTTTTCTTTCTCTGTTCCTCCATCTTTCTCTTTTTCTCTTTCTTCGTAGATCTACTGGCCCCCGTTACCTGGCAACAGAGAGGACTGCATTCAAACTGGGAAAGAACCACAGGTTAGTGATTGACTTTTAATTCCTGCTTGGATTATCACATTTCCATTAAAAAATGTGTGCCTGAATGCATCCAGAGACACCCTTACACCTTGTCCTGCTTCACCTGCCCATTACTTGTCCTCAAGTTTCCATTCTCCTGAGATCACAGGACACACTACAAAGCTGCTTTTCATTCCCCATAGCCTGGGAGTAAACAGCATATACAGTAGAAGCCAGCTTTCAGAGATTGTCTGTTGCTTTGCTGCTATAACTGTCAAGACCAGTTTCCTGCCTGTGCTTTGTAACCAGCTCTGTTGCCAATGTCCTGTCTGTTTGCTGATGGTTGAATTTGTTTGCCTATGGCCTGACTGCCTGCCTGTTTGGTAGCTTTTATTCTACCAGCTGGGCCTTGATGTCTCCATTTGGATTGTCATCCCTCTTTCATGTAACTTGAACTCCGACAGCACAACGTGGTCCAAAAATGAACCCAACAGATGCTGCTTTTTCGATAAATGAGGTGACTGCTTTGCCCTATGCTATTGAGCAGCTCTACGCTTTTTGCCAAAATGCCTCAAGTGGCAAGCAGAGAAGCAGCTCTCAGCACGGCACTTGTGTCCTCCAAACCCTGGCTTGTCAAGTTGGTGTATGGGCTTTCAGAGATTTTGGCTCCTCCGAGCTGAATCCTGTTGCCACATCAGTCTCTGCTCTGCTCTCAGTGGTTCTCCTGTATTTTTCAGTTCCTGGCTAATTTTTAAAAAGACTTTTTAACGAGTTTGAGACCCGGGATACAAAATATTAATGAATTCCCGGCACTTCAAGGCCCCCTTTTTAAGAGTAGTCCCCAAATGGAACATGTTGTGATGGGAAGTGCAGAATGTGCCTCTAGCAGTATGACAAACTGTGTGTAGAGTAAATGGCATAACCTAGTTAGACAGTTTAGTGCCACGGTGCTCCCCCACATCCCTGAAAAGGTACAATAAACTATAGATTACAGATGACTCTTATGAAGTCTAAATGAGGCAATCATTCTAAAAGGGCTTTTATTGGTTCTGTGAAGAGAGAAATTAAGGCGGGACTTCATCACTTAATGAGCTCAAAATGCAGAGGGAGGAAGAAGGATATGGAATTAAGGAAAATAAAAGAAGATAGGGAGGGCAGCGTAACATACTGGAGAAGAGGAGGATATGTTCGTGTAATTAAGACCATGTTTACAACAAGAGGAAAAAGAGAAAAAGAGGAGAGGGGCATTCCCATGCACCAGCCTCAAATAATATAGAGAAACAAAGCATCTTAGTGTAAAGTTTTTCAGCTACACAAAATGTATACTGTAATGAATGGAGCCAGTGTCCAGAAATGTGTCAGCACCTTGAGTTGTTTCCCTCCTCACAGTCTGACTCAGCTTTCTGTTTGTTAACCTGGAGGAGGTTAAAAATGAGTTGTATGTTGTTCTTCACAGCAGATGGAGAGGAAGAGAGTAGGAGACAAAGATAATGATAGTTATAAGTGCAACACGAAAGACCTGACAAAGTAAAGCAGGTAGTGCAACCATCTGCAGGAGAGGTTTTAGTCATGCTAGTGCCATGGTTCTGAGGGATGGTAGCCTGTAGGCTGATCCAACACTTTGGTCCAAACTAAAATATCTCAAAAACTATAGTTGCTGCTGGGTGGATTGCAATGAAAGTGCTACCATGAGGTTGACATTTGTTGTTTTAGGTGGACTGTCTTGACAACTGTTTCCTTTAGAATGATTTGTAACTTTTGTGATCTTGGAACTTTTCATCCAGCATCACCATCAGGTTAAATTCTTAATTTGTCAGGTACTTTGGTTTATAACTAAAACCTGCACAACTAATAATATTCCCATCAGCCTCAGCTATACTGCTAATTAGCATGCTAACAAGCTACACTAAGACTGTTAATGGTAAACATTATACCTACTAAGTACAGCCTCACAAAGCCTAACATAGCTATACACTATTATTATTATTATTATTATTATTAAGATGAAAACATAACCAAAGAAAAAAAGCCACGGAGAATGGACAGAAAAAAGGAAATAGGAAAAGAAAGAAGGACTCATGGAAAGGCTGTAAGGGTAAGGAAGCACTGACTGAATGAAAGAGGGAGGAAAAAGATTTTGTGGTGAAGCCCCTTTGATGTACCGAGACATCGTTAAATTTGGTCCCAGTCAGAGAAGAAGCTCCCTGTGGCTTTAGTGGTGCTCAGAATACATAAACTGGCACTAATTACTGATTTACACACACACACACAAAATGAAGACACCGTTCTGTGGGTTGTAAAACTATTGTGACTGTTTGTGCCTTCTTGTGCTCATGGCAAGAAGTCTGACAGCCACCGGCATCTGGAACGGGTTAGACAGTGTGTGTGTGTGTGTGTGTGCTTATAGGTATATGTTCCTTGTGTTTGAAGTGGCAGGTGTGTCTTGGGTGTCTTATATCACTTTTATTAAGTGTTTCCTCAGCGCGGGGCTCACACGGCTGTGTGTGTGTGTGTGTATGTGTGTGTGTGTGTGTGTGTGTGTGTGTGTGCGCTACTGTACTGTCCATAGCGGAGAGAAGGAGCCACAATGCATTATTAGGCAGGTCTTAAAACAGGATGTGTGTAACTCTACCTTATATGTGCCAAAGGAGTCATAAAGTGTGTGTGTGTGTGTGTGTGTGTGTGTGTGAGAGAGAGAGAGAGAGAGAGAGAGAGAGACAGAGAGAGAGAAATTGTGTAAGTAACAGATAGAGATGTTTCTCTGCTTATGTGAAACTACACAGGCATCTTTCTGCATTCCTTCACGTCTCTATATGTCTCGAGTTTTTTGGTGTCAAATGAGATGGATTACTGCTGTATCCCGTGACATCTACAAAGCAAAAGATACACACATGGACACACACACACACACACACACACACCAGTTCCATCTCATATGTTTGCTATCTGCATCTGTTAAACATAACCAAGTTTGACAAAAAGTGGTAGAGGTTGAAAGGTGAAAGGTCTTCACATTGTTTTTTTGGACTTTTGCATGTGAGAGTGTGTGCGTGTGCGTGTGTGTGTGTGTGTGTGTGTGTTAGGTGAAAGATATACATGAGACATAAACAGCAAGAAAAAGAGTTCCAGGAAGTCCTTTATGTACTGTAGCTGTTTGACCATCATCAATATGTGCATACTTTCACATTAAATGTGACTGAAGAATAGGTAACACCGTCCTGTTATCCCTTTAATGAAAGCCTCTGTCTCCACAGCCTCCCACTGACAAGTGTCGACCACCTTAAACATGTTTTTACTGATAGCGTCTCCTCCCAGAGTCACAACCTCAGGACCTTCACCATCATTAATTACAGCTCAGACAAATAAATAACAGGTTGAGGGGAGGCACTCAGTGACTTCAGCCAAGCGTGCGGTGTCTTGCTCTGGCTGTTAACACATTTTTCTGCTTCCTCTATCTGCATCTTACGATTGGATTGATTATCTAATCAGCTGCTTACTTCCTCCATTTCTAATGTGTTCACATTGTGACTCATTATAATGCAGTGCATGCTGAGCACAAAAAGGCAGAGCAGGGATCATAGCAGAGATAGCAAGTTAGGCATATTGAATGAGTGGATAATTCAGTTTTGAGAAAAAGAGTGAGGCATTGTGTATGCAAGTCAGAATTCCCTACAACTCTTTATGGACTAAGGAAATTGGTTTGTGTACTCAGTTCTCTGCTTTATTCTTTCATGACAAGCTTGATAGTGCCAGTAATCTTCCTTCTCTCATGGTTTGGCTTTATCAGTGGAGCTGGGATCAGTTCTGCTTTGTTTGACTCTCTGGCAATTCATGTCTGCGTGCAGGAAAGTTAGAGACTGTCCTATTGAAGAAAATGGTCAGGGGATGTTATACTGCAGCAAAAAGTTTTAAGAAGGATGGGGTTTAGGTCCTTTGTTCTGCCAACTTTAAGTGATGGTTTCTTTTCACCATGAAGGTAATGTTCCCTCATCCTTAACATAAAGCTATACAAAGCTCACCTTTAAAGCTAGGGTAGGCAGTTTTATTTTGGCGTCACTGGGCAAAAATCCCATAATAACCTTTCAGCATATTGTAATTCAAGTGGTCTGAGGGAACACTAGACCCCTGCACCTTCCATTGGCTCTGTTTTCAAGCTTTAGAAGATCTAGCCTGTGACAGGAGACTTTGGTCAATCACAGGTCACTTTAGAGATAGGGCATTTCTATTGGCAGTTTTACAAATGCAAATGCAAATGCACATCCCAAATGGCGAAAGCCTCATTCAATGGCAAAGAGTCCTGCAGAGTTGCAATTTCACTATTGGCAGCGACTGCCTACTGCAAAGTCACAGCTGCAGTTAATTCAAGTACATGTTAATGTCGCTACCTAAAGCCCAGAATTAGTGTGTCCTCTGCCTCACTCCATGCCGCTACAGACCACCTTGCCAAAATGAGAGCAGGCAGCAGCTCCAGAGGCAGATCCCCGCTCGGTGGCTGCAGCATCCCAAATCCAGCAAGAGCAAGTACTGGGAGACTGGACCACTCTGACTCAAGGCCAGATAAGCAAACTTTCTGTTGCTGCCATTATACTAGTTACACAGGTTACCCCAGCACTGGGAGTTTGTGCTGGCTGAAATCGAGCCACTACAGCCACCGAACGAAGGTCTGTCTCCAGGGCTGCCAGCTCCCTTCCTGTCCAAGCAATCCACAGTGATGGGGGATTGGGTGGAGGGGCCATAGGGTGCCTAACTAACTAATTCTTGTCTTGTTTGTGGTCCAATAAACAAAGAGCGTATGGGGCAAGAAGGAGCAGATTGAATGCATTACACACAGCTCTACAATGAAATAAGATTTAAAACATCAATGTATGGGAAACAGCTGGTTACTGTATGAAGCATGTGGATATGCCTGTGTGCATCTGGTGGGAGAAAACTGCCTACTCACCTTTAACAGGAAGATTAGTAAACAATCTTATGACTCTTTTAAGCGACTTTATAATAAAGCACCGAAACACTGCCCGTTT